TTGTCGTTGCGCCGAAGGCATGTTTATGTGCAATGAAGTTGGCTGCCAGATGTGTCCAGATGGCCTCTACTGCGCTGCAGGTCTTGACCCTCCTGTTCAGATGGCGGGCTTCTGGACCGCAGTGACAGGGCCGAACCAGTGCAACTTCAATGTGCTGCGCTGCAGAGACACAAATGAGTGCCCTGATAATCCTCTCGGTGAGTGCGCCCCGGGCCGCGAAGGATTGGCATGCAACAACTGCCGCGAGGGATATTTTCCGGAGGAAGAGGGAACATGCTTGCCCTGCAGTCCGGCAGATTCACTTCCAGCTATCTTGAGTGGCATCGCAGCCGTTATTGTCCTCATCCTCTTGCTCTCCTCGGTGAATGCGGACCTGAACCAGCAGTCACTAAACCTGCTCACGGTCGCCGCAGTGGGCAGTCAGATGGTCATGGCCGTCCAGGCTCTGGGATCCATCCGTCAGCTGTCCATCACCTGGGTGGATCCCGTGCGCCACATCATTGACATGACCAGGCTGCTCACCTTCGACTTCGACATCATCCGCATCTCTTGTGTCACCGGTCAGGATAGCCCCACCCTAAAGTTCCTTGGGCAGCTCTTGGCGTGCCCTGCCGGCTTCTGCCTGGTCATGGTTGCATGGGGCGTTGCACGAGCTCGTGGCCGCAAGATGTCTCTGGATGCTGTCTTCAACCTCAATGGTACCTTGCTGTTTGCGCTCTTCATCACGCTGACCTTGGCGGTGTTGGGCCCTTTCCAATGCATCAGCAACCCAGATGGGAGCTCGTCGATGGCATCAAACCCAGGCATCATCTGCTACACCTCCTCGGAACATTGGGTTGTGGTTTGTCTGTCCATTGTCGGTATCATTTGCTATCCTGTTACCATCCTCGGCTGGGCGACCTACACAACAGTCATGTACCCCTCTCGCATCACATCCGGTGCTGGCCTCCAGCTTGTGAATCGCTACCGCTTCCTCTTCCAGCGATTCAGGCCCGAGTGCTACTACTACGGCTTGGTCCTTCTGTTCCGCAACGCCTTCGTGGCTCTCTTCCCTGTGGCGTTCGTGTCGATGCCCGAAGTTCAGGTCGTGCTCATGGGCGCTTTGTTCGTCTTCGGTGGAGCTCTTCAGGTGAGGAGTTGGCCTTGGCGTACTCCGATGGCCAACTATGCCGACTTGGTGATGACGGCTTTCCTCCAGGTGGTCTTGCTCGGGGCTGCTCCTTTGCTGGAGATCGACAAGGAACAGTCAACGGAGATGCTGGGCTGGCTGCTTCTCGTCGCCGTGCTCTGTCCGCTCCTCGCTGGCCTGGGAGCCGTGGGTTTCGCAATTTTCCGTCACTTTACACCGCAAGCCATGTTCGGCATTTTCCTCTGCCACCACAAAGGAGGCGCTGGCAGTCTTTGTCGCCTCATCAAGCTTCTTGTTGCCAGGCACAGCTCCGCCAACGTCTTCCTGGATTCCGATCAGCTGGAGGACTTGGACTTGATTTTCGACACGATCCGTAAAACGACCAAGAGCGTGGTTACCGTCCAGACGCCAGAGCTGCTGAAGCGCATGTGGTGCGCGGGAGAAATTGTGACTGCCTTCAAGAACAAGGTCACCACTGTCCCCCTCATTTGCGATGGCTTCCTCACGCTCACCAATGAAGCTCTCGACATGATCCCAGATTGCTGGACGGCCCAGCAGAAGCAGATCCTCGCCAACTACGGCATCACCATGGAAGATGTGAAGTCGGCTTACGTCTGGCTCCGCGATGAGAAGACCCCGCTCTACCTCAGCCGTTTTGGCTCGGCAGAGAAGCGTGAGGAAGTTGTCATCGAGATGTGCAAGCAGTGCAAGATCTCCATGAAAGTGTTCACCTCCCACCACGCGCCAACGGGCCCTTCAAAGGCAAAAGCAAGGATTCTCATCACCGGCTCCATCACAGATGCTGAGGCTCTCGCAACATGCGAAGTCTTCCAGATTATGGTGCAGGAACACTTGCGGACGGAATGTGCCCTGGTGCGGTCCCAGAAGGAAATGGTGGCCTACAAGCCTTGGGCCTACTACTTTGTTGTTCTCTTCTCGAGGGGAATGCTCCGGGACCCTCGCTTTGCGCAAATTTTGTTGAAGACAGGCGCAGGCGAAGCAGGCGAAGAGCAGGAGTCCTCCGGAAGACAGCTCGAGATCGTGACGGTCTCTGCCGACACGGGCTTCGAGTTCCCGAGTGCGGAGTTCTACCAGGAGTTGGAAGTCCGCGGCCTCGGTCAGGAGGGGCTGGGTCCTGAGGTCGGTCTTCGGCTCTCCAAGGCCTACCGCTCTTTGCTGAACGTGCTGGCCCTGCCGCTGTCTCCGATGGGCTCTGAAGGCCTTCTGATGAAGCAGACCTCAGAGATCTCCCGACGATTCCGCCGCTACAAGGACCCGGCCCAGGCACAGGCACTCGATTCGGCTGACGACGCCGAGTTAACTGGGCAGGGAGTGGATGCATCAGTGCTGGCAGAGCTCAATGCAGAGGTGGAACAGACTCTCCAAACTGTCAATGCCCCGAAGGAGACGGCTCAGCATGTCCCTGGGCCTCCCCTGGAGCAGATCGTCAGCACGGAGTTGTGAGTCGAACGCAGTCATCAACTTGTAACTCTCGAAGAGAGAAGGGGAGGGGGCAATGGATCCCTATGAGTAGCATAAACATCAGATATACAAGCATCTCAGTCTTTTCCCCTCGGTGTCCGTATGTTAGCGGTTGCGGACCTTACAGCAAAGCTGTTCCTGGTCTGGTTTGCCTTTACGCGGCTCAGTCAAGCATGTCGCATTGGACAAATGAATGCCGCAATCCTGAGCGTAAGGTGCCAGAGCCTGCATCCCAATCTCCTAAACCCTGAACTACATCGCAATCCACGGGCTCCGTGCCTGGTCAGCCCTGAGCCTAAACCCTGCACCTGCAATCCTAGACCAAGCCTTAAAACAGATGTGCAATTTTCGCATTTAGGGTCCATCTTCAGGTCACCCAAATTGTACGGCACTTTCATAAAACCCTAAACTCTCAACCCTACACCCTAAACCCTCAAAGGGACCCGAAGTTAGAGAACTACCCAGATGTCCCTGGCTGCAGGAGGTGCCCGACGGCCAAGACGAGAAGGATCTGCAGGTGCTGTTCCCGCACAAATCGACTTACAGATTTAGGGTTGCAGCCGCATTTGGGGTTTATAGCCGAATAGATATTTTTGAGAATGGAGACGTCTCGTGAGTGCAGGAATTTCCCATTTCGGTAGGCGAGGCTTTTCGAAAGTGTTCAAGTGCTAGCTCCCACAAAGCGAGTTTTCTGACGTCCCCCTTCTCAAGCCCTCCCTTGAAAGCCAAGCCCCATTCAATAAAATTCAAGCGCCACACAGATCCAACACAGTCGAAAGACAGGTGTGAAATGCCGGAGCAGTGCAAGCCTATCCAGAGCGATGATCGGAGGCTGTTGCGTGGCAGTTGCGAGAATAGCAGCGGCGCACATGGCATTTGCTCCCACCTCTTGCTCGGGTTTTGTCGATGACGATCAATGTCTTCTTGGCATCGTTGTTCAGAGCCGCTGTTTTCATGTACATACGTCAGCTCCTGGGTGGGTTGTCTAAACTCTGAGGGCGGCATTTCTCCGTTTTACAGCGCTTCAAGCTTGCCACTTTTTGTGTAATTCTATGGTTGCTTTTTTTTTGCGGTTCGTTGCCGCGGACCGCGACTGTGTCGCGTTACAAGGCCGCACCACGCAAAAAAATGGAGTCTTTCTTCTTATGTTGTGCAGCACTCTGCACTGGAGTTGTTGTGTTTCAGAATGGGTTCAACGATTTTTTTTTGGGACTGGCAAGCTGAAGAAGGTTTTGCACAATGAGAACGACAGCAATGTTAATACTGCGGTTTAAGTGTGTGATGTTGCTTCCATGAACACTGGGATGCGCAAGCAACAACATTTTCTGTGTGTTCACAGTGACCATACTCAGACGCTTGTTCAGGCAGTGTTGAGTGCCTGATGTGGCAGGGAAGTGTATCGATTTTTTCAATTTTGCGACTCGGTTTGAACATACTTCTGTGCTCCCTCCGTTTCATTGCACCCTCACCCTTGCCGCAACATACCCACTCACACACACACACACCAGAATGGAGCACCAGCAACCACACTTTACACCCACCTAACTTTAAATCTCAACCTGCCGCCCCATCTAATTTTGGCATGCTTTGAGCATCGGACAAGCATTTCTCAGATGGGTTTTGCTCACCCAACGCATCCGTTTTGACGGCATCTCTATTGAAGAAAGCAAAAGCAACGGCAAGATGTTTGTTGCACAAACATTCAATACACTGTTCCTGCTGTGGATGGAGTGTTGCTTATGACGAGATTCAATTTTCGATTTGAAGACACTGCAAATTTGTTCCACACTTGCATTTCCATCCGTTCGAAAGCATCGTTTTCTGGCTGTTAAAACAGTGGGAGTGGCAGCGCGTGGCAAACATAGGCGGCAAAGCGCGTAGAAGTCGGTCTGAGGACGGAAAAGGTGTTGTGCATGCAAAGGGGAATTTGTGGTCTCATGGTATGTGCCTCGCCATGATGTCTTGCGCTAATGATGCGTGCATTCGTGTCGGAATGTCTGATGAGGTCAAGCTCAAGATGAGTTTCGCGGCGAAATCACATGAATCTTGAAGGTTATGTTCCATATAAGACTCGTAGAGCATTTGTGGTGTTCCTTTCGGTGGCACGGCGGGGTTGGATTGACAGAACCAAAGATCGGAACGAATTGCTATGAGTTTGGACAGCTTCTCGATGAACGGCATGTTGCAGTCCCGTGCGGCCATACTGAAAAGTGTTTCGGATAGATTGATTGTCGCCAGAGGATGAAGCAGCTAGGAAAGCAGCACTCATGAAAGGCCATTGGTCATAACAAGACTGCGAAGACAGATGCTAGTAACAGAGCTGTCGAGCGCACTGGATCTGGCATCAAGTGTCCTTTTAAACATGATGCATCGACGCCATGTTGGTCCGATGGGTGTGGCATGGGCATGGGCTGTAGCAGCTATCATAGTGTTCAGACCTGTGGCTCGCCGTTTCTGCTTTGTCGGAATTGGTACGCCTGGTTCGTCAGACAGCAGGTTCCAGCTGCAGCCAAAGGTCAGCATGCGAGTTTCATCGCCTGAGTCTTTGCAGCTTCCACGTCATCCCGAGAACGAGAAGGCCAACAAAGTTTTGGCCAAAGCAGAGGGTCTAGCAAATGAGATATTGTCACGTTCTTCATCTTTGCACCGATCTAGGGATCGGGACGTGGCAGAGAGAGTTGATGCCCAAGACCGAGTGTATGCTAACACCTTCGTGGATCTCGGTTCTGCAAAAGTTATCGGGTTCGATTATGATTATACTCTTGTGAGTTACAAACCGGCTGTGCTGCACCTTATTTACCGCCTAGCCACTGAGCAGCTCGTCAGTCGGCTTGGATACCCGAGGGACATGTTGCATGATCTCCCTGGATACGATGCACAGTTTGCGATTCGGGGCTTGGCCGTAGATCTGAAGACTGCATGGATTTGCATGCTGACGTTAAGATATCGGGTGTCGATTGCTTTCTTCGGACGCGAACAAGTGGATCCACGCACTGTCCGACGGACGTATCGAAGTGAAACCGGCTCCGGCATTCTTCCGCCCGAGGAACGGAAGAAACGCTTTAAGCCTTTGAACGACATGTTCAGCACGGCTGAGGCATGCCTGCTCGCTGACGTGGTTCAGTGGTTTCGTCGTCGAAAGATTCCTTTTGACCCGAGGAGTGTCGTCACGGATGTATTGAGTGCTGTAGCAGGTGCTCACATTTCTGAAGAGGTCCACCGTTCAATCTGTGATGACTTGGAAAAGTTCGTGGAGCCAGATGGCAAGCAACACCTGCGGCAGCTCTTGGACAGACTACACAGCTCGGGTAAGAAGTTGATGTTGGTGTCGAACTCTCCTTTCTGGTTCGTGAACAAGGGTATGGTATATGTGTGTGGGGAAGACTGGAGAAAACTGTTTGATGTTCTGGTCGTATCTGCCGGCAAGCCAGCCTTCTATACGCAAAACCGTCCTTTCAGAGAGGTTTCAACGAATACCGGAAGGATCAAGTTCAAGCCTGTTGAGTCACTGAGCGCAGCGGAAGTTTATTGCCAAGGATCGATCGGGGAATTGGTCCGGTTGATGGGCTGGGACCACTCAGATTCAACTGCCTCCGAGTCTGAGGTGGACGGCTCCAGCATCATTTACATGGGTGATTCCTTATTTGCTGACTTGGTTGATGCACGCCGATTGTATGGTTGGACAACAGGTGCGATTATTCGCGAAGTCGGAAACGAAACACAAATTCAGTCGAGTGCCGACTGGCAGCAAGCATGGAGAGTCTTGCAGGTGCTGACCCTGTGCACAAGGCAGTGTCAAGATTCTTACATTGGCTGGAACGACGCCTGCCAGGCATACTCCGAAGATGACAGGCGTGTTCTGGATGAGCTGGAAGCTCTATCTGCAGATTTCCGGGGCCGTCTAGACATGCTCATGAACCCGAACTTCGGTTCGATCTTTCGCACCTCGAGGGACAACGGGCAGACAGCACAGCCATCCTTGTTTGCCCGCTGCTTGCAAAGACACGTGGATTTTTACACGTCGAAAGTGGAAAACTTGAGGTTCTATTCCACAGATCATCGCTTCTATCCTGCGGACTATTCGATAGGTGTTTTGCACGAAGTCCTGCACTTGACGGACCCAATCTCAGATGCACTGCAATCTGGTGAAGACTGAGAAAAGGATGGTACACTGTCTCTACTCCACTTCACATGCAATCAATGCAATGTGGTTGTGTCTTGCTGTAATGATTGCATGCTAGTCCATCTGCCGCAGTGCGAGACCAAGCGGTTCAGGTCCGACCGTTCGCCGTAAACCATAGCCCCAATGCCAGTCGAGTATTACAGGAGCTGCTCGTGCTCATTGACCAACGCACATCATGTACCTGTACTACGCAGAACAATAAGAGTTTTCGTAAGATTTTGCCAGGAATGCCCGATAGTCAGCTAAACTCCTGTGCATGAGTCGCTGCTCGGTTGATGTCGTGGTCATGGGCTCTGTACATCCCTGCCATGTAACATCAGTGTGTGCTCATCTACATCGGTCCCATCCAGTCCATCCCTGGGGTCTAAGTACTTCCGCAACATTTCAATTTGGCCATGTACTCACCATGGCCATCGACATCATGGCGGAGGCACTGCGATGTGAAAAGAGTGTGGGTCCAGTGTTCGGTTCAATTGTCGAGGTACCCAGCATCTCTGGAGCACCATCAGCCCTACAGCCCGGAAAGGCCCGATGCCTTTTCCGGAGCTTCGCATGGGCTCAGCACACCTGACCAGGTCGACGATGCTGCGATCTTGAGGTACCGGAGGGTACCGGAGGGTACCGGCGAACCGGCATTGATGTTGTTTAAAACTTGAACCCTGCAACAGGTGCATAGACAAGCTCCAGACTTGGGATGCATCAAGATTCGAGGCCATGCTGTTGCAAAGTCCGGCAGTCACCAGGCGGTCAAACTCAAAACTGTCGCGGAAGAGGTCCTTGCAACGCTGCAGAGTTGCCCGCGAAATGCTGGGCAAGTTCGTTTGGTACAGGCACTGTGGCACTGCTGCTCAACCAGTGCGACATATTTCCGACTACCCGTGACGACTAGCAGGATCGGTCAACAGGGCGACGGCTGGCAGTGAAACGAATGCCACTGTCCTGGACCTGCGAGGACGCTGACACCTCGTTGTACGGTGTACCATGTCCAGCACACACCAACCTCCCGAAATACCAAACAACAGCCAATGTGGCAAACCCTGATACACACCGAAGCGGCTGAAGGAAGTCTTCTGGTTCTACTGGGCCCGTTGGCTAGTGAATCCGCGCTTTTCTGTAGCATCAACACGTGCAAGTATGTACAAAGGCGTCTTCCTTTCAAGACCTTACGAACAAGCCCTGTCCATCGAAGAGTGTTTTTGCTTTTTTTTTGTCAGTTATTCGGATTTCTCCAGATGCTCATGTGCCAAGTGAACAGTCAGATGAAACCGTCTTTTCGGCTTGCGGATTCGAACTGCTCGTCATGCTCTGGTTGGGGCCCTTCCTTGGCTTCGTCCGGCGCTCCTCTCTTCTCAGTCCGCTGTAGTGCGTGGTGCTGCAGTGGGACCCCGGTGTGAGTCGTGGGGTTTGAAGTGTTTTTTTTCAAGACGCTGTGCTCAGGGTGTCAGGCGCTCCCTGCGTGCTGTTCGTGACGAGGCCTCTCCTTACGCCTTCAACCGTCCACCGTCGCAGAGGTCCACTACAAAACATGACCATCATGCAGGTAAGCTGTGAGATCGCCTTCTGCAGTTTGCAGTACCATTCGCTGCTTTGTAGTCATCATGCCACCTGCTCCGTCGTGCATGCAGATTCAAGACACACCTCGACAACACATTCTTCCGTGCACTTGATCCTCTTGCACCCGTCGGCCTGCAAAATCTGCCATCACGCCAGCACACAGTTTTTGGAATGTAGATGCCTCGGTGATGCTTGTCGTGAAGAGAATACCAGGTCAAGACCAAGTCGCTAGCGGCTCACTAGCTCCTTGCACGTCACAAGTCCGCGAAACTGATGCTTAGTGCCGATGGTTTTATTTCTGGCCGCAACGACTGGGTTTCATCCGAATCTCTTCATGGGTACTGAACAGCTTGCACGTTCTGGGGCTCAGCAGGGGCATTACAATTTTTGGCGTCTTCAGGATGCAGAGTCTTTTTCCACTGCGCACCCAACCGAGACGGAGGTGTGGTCGCAGTTGCATCAACACGAATGCACGTTGCTCAGCTTTAGGTGCCGTGGATGGACATGGCTGCCACAAGGCAGATGCTAGCAATCTTGACAAGCCAGTCTCGCTGCGAAGCTTCACGTGCTGCAGCTCAATGCAGGTGGCTGAATATCGTTGGCTTTCAGCATTGCGTCGAATATTGCGGAGTGTTTCTGGACGATGACTACGTGGCTTTTGTCATGGGTTTGGCAGAGGCGCCCAGTGAGTTGGTAATATGAGAAGTTGTCGTTCTCATATCATTTGCATGCAATGCCTGGACTTCCATGTTCGTGATGCTGCTAAGAACAGTCGATCAGTCAAGCCTTGCCTGCCTTGTTGCGGCACTCTTTGGCTGTCCATGTGAGCCGTCCTTTGGAAGTGGAGCTGTTGGTGTGCTTGGACCATTTCGTCAGGGAGGCGATCTCTTCACTTTCGTGGATGCAATGGGCTTGCCAGGCCAGGCTTCTGGGAGGCCCAGCGTGTTCCGTTTTCGCTCTACTGCGCAGAACCTGGCCCTATCCTTGAAGAAGCGCTGCGGCCTCTAGCTGCCGGGGCCGCCAGTGACGACTGCTAGATGACCAGCAGAGACGTAGTGTGCTTGCAGGTAGAGTTCCTCAGCGCGGTGTCTCGACTCCACCAGTACCTGGCCAAGCACCGGTTGCGCTGAAGGTATTCGGAACCTGATCTTTACACCCCGAGGCTCGGATTGGCTCATCGAGGCCTCTTCCCGGCGTGCTAGTGACTGCCAGTGACTGCTGCTAGTGACTTACCTGCCCTGCTGAGACCTCTCACTTGAGAACGTGCTGCTGGCCAACGCGAAGGCCAGACGTGCAGAGCACAAATCCAGTCGGACTATGGTCCGTCCATAAGCTAGGTTCAATTTGCGTGAACTGCTGTGCGTGTCAGGGTGGGCCCATATATTTGATCGACTACAGCATGGCAACTACAGGGAGATTCCAAACAGGACTCGTTCTGCGGTTCTCAGTTTGTCTCTGCGTGCCGAGAAATTCAGAGTCCATGCTTCTGGGATCGCTCGAACTTCCAGAGGATCCGTCCTTTTGTCCGGCCCGATGTTTTGCAGTCTCTGCATGTTCTTTTTTTACTGTTTCCTCCCAAGTCTTGAGATCGCGTGGTCACTGTGACGAGGACCAGCCTGTGGCAAAGCGTCATACATTGCTCCAGAGGCTGGCTGCGTGAGAAAGAGACCCAGTGCAGTGCGGGATTGCGCCTCATCTCACAGATGCATCTGGGCAGCGGCTATGACGCTTTTCAGGCCCGTGCTCTTCTGTCTCAGGAGGAATGTCCCATGTCAGATCGGGGCTTACTGTCACAGCGGCCTGATGAAAGCTCAGGCTGACGCGTTCTCCTGTGGGGTCATCTTGTATGCCTTGTTTGCCAAGGACTCTTGTAGCATCTGTCCCGAGATCTATTGTCAATACAACTATCTAACAGGTGTTCCCCAATTTGGCTTAGATAGCCAATGGGAGAACTTTAAACTTTTTGGCCTTATATATTATGTCTATCCTAAAAAGTTTGAACTTTTTTGGGCCTGGTTGTTGAAGAAGAGAGTTGGTCAGCATCACGATGCCTTCACCACAGTTGTGATTGAGTGTACGACGGCACTTGCCGTTGCGATGTCGAGGACTACCCTTGGATATCAACCAGGGCCGGAGCATGCAAGTGCTTCGAGTGACCCATCCTTCTGCATGCCCCGGTTAGCATGTTTTGGCTTGTGTGTATGCAACGAAGCAGGCGAAAACTCCAGCACCCAATCTATTGCCATACGTTCGCATGGTGGAACAGAAGGATGTATCCAACTTTGCAACCACGTGCCGCTCGAGTGTTACGGGGCCTTGATTCTTCACACTAAGGAGCACCTCGGAGCTCAGGCAGCTAGAACGGACCTCTCCACCGGACGTCTAATGTGCAGAACGGGCGCAGTGTCCCATGAGGTATATCATGGGTTGGCAAGCTCCAGGAAGCAAGACAACGGCCTTGTTGCCCGCCTATGGGTGTGTACGCACCTTTGTTCTCTCACTGCCAGCTCTGGCACCCGATCCTACTCTGGTTTCGGGTGTCCCGAGTTCTGGCTTGTTTTTCTGCTCTCGTAATGCCATTGTTCTTGCTGCGAAGTACGAACTTTCGTGTTGTGATGCCGGTCTGCCAAAGAGACCAAACGTGTTCAGCTTGATACTCTTCGTTCGATCCACTACACGTTTCAAACTCGCAGGGACACGCGGCTGCCAAGTCCGGGCCAAGGTCGCACGACTCGCACGACAACATACCATCTTCAGTCGTCAGGATGGTATGTGCGAGTTGTCATGCTCCAGTCGCCAGTCGGTACAGTTGCCCGTAACTCCATATTGCATCTGAGGCGGCACGCTAATCATGACCTTGTGTGGACCAGGTACGTGCGCAAGCATGGTTTTTTAAAATTTATGGCGAAGCGGCGCATCATCGTGGGTGACGAGAAAAAGCCTGTCGACAAGGCACACGTAGATAATAAACTAGCATCATACTGGTACCAAGAACGACTTGAACGCGAAGTGTTTTTCTGCAGGTGATGTCCAAGCCCTTTGCACAGCTGCTCGACGGCCTGCTCCGATTTTCACCCGAGGCAGCGCTTGCTTTAGTGCTTACATCGAAGTCATTTGAACTGCTTTTCGGTGTTTGTTCTAAACCTGTCGGGGCATGTTCTTCAGGAGCGTTTAGCAATCGTTGACGAAGATCGTCCAGGCAAGTTTTCCCTTGTCCTTGCCTTGTGCTGATGTCCGAAAGAGATGTGTCTGGGGCTCGGAAGCCCGTGTTTCAGGCAGCTCGGCAGGCAGCATTTGGGTCGGATCCTAAATTTCCAGCTTGCGACCTCGCCGAGACATCCACGTTACTTATCCCAGGCTCAAGCTTGGTTGAAGAAGGCGCGGCCTGAAGTGGAAGACCGAGCCTCGACACATGTTGGGCCTCTTCAAGGCAACCGAAGCACCGCCCGAATCCCCTGAATGATATCCAAGCCGCGACCTCAGCGAGACAGTTTGGATCATCGGCGTGCTTTAGGTCGGAAGATCTAGTTCTTGCCAAGGAGTTTCCGAACACAGAGACGCTCTGCAATTGCTCTGAGAGACCGAGAGCGTTTCCCGGATTGGCTGAAGCACTTGCACTCGGCCCTCAATGATTCCTTTGAGCTCATAGTCCTTCCGGACTAGATCGAGTTATGGACTATCGAGAGTCATCCGGCTGCGCTGTCCGGGAGTTGCCATTGACTCCGTGCTTTTTGCCGCAGCAGTGGTGGGTTCCACGGTTCCCCCTGAACAAGGGATATTCCGGAGAGTCTTGGTGACCCTTGTGTTGCCAAGCGTGCTGTTCCCTGACCCAGCAAAGGCTGCAGCATTCCAAAGTGTGTTCGACTGCATGAGTTCAGACATCGTATGGCATTGTTCGGCTGATGCTGCCTTAGCTGAGATCAGATGTTCACAGAAATTACAAGAGGATACCCTAGCTCATTCATGTGGATTCCTTATCTCTTTCTACACTGTGATCAAAGCAGCCCAAGAAACCTTTAGCATTTCGGGCAGTGGCATTCTCTTGAAGAATGGCTTCTTAGCTAATCACACGCTGCTGGTTACAGCTTTCATGGAGCAGGACAGAAGGAAGTTGTGCAATTATGGATCTGTGGAAGTTTGTGAGAACTTCGTGAAGGCTGTCGGCACAGGACTATTCAACAGATAGTTTGCCCCAGTGGCGCATCGTATCACTTGGCCAGGCGGCAGTTCGAGCTCAGCAAGGCTCAACTGGACTGCCAGCAGCACACATCTTAGCTCTTGGAGATCGCGGTGCGCGATGAGAGCGAAAGGACGGTTGTTGCTCTGGCGTCTTGATAACCCGCGGTGTAATGTCACAAATTTAGACAGCCGCTTTACTGTCTGAATATGCAATATAGTTTGGCTCAAGACGTGGGCCAAGCAGAACGATGGCTTCGTTCACCAGCTTTCATATTTGTGCCTTGGACGGCAGTGAAGCCGCTGTGGAACTGTTGCACATGTTGGGTGTGCCGGGTTTTCGACGCAACGGCAAGGTCTATCTCAACTAAGTGTTTGCCTCAGCATCCGTGCCGGTGTTTGATTTTTCGAGAGCTTGAGAGAAGCTGGCTGAGGTTGTAGCAGATGGCTCCGAGTTGCGGTGCTCTGGAGTGTACTGGTGGGGGCAAGTGCGAAACATAGGATTCACAGGAGCCCTTCGCCACCACAGCGCTCAGAAGTTCCGCGGATTCGGACCTCCGTAAATGAGTCGTTTGCCAAACGTCACAAATTCAATGCAAGCGCACCTTGGCGTGGCTAGCATCTGCTTTCATGCATTTCGTCATGCTTACGCCCTGTCCATATAATGTCGACGCATGTCTCTCTGAGCCTGTGCAATATTTCTAGAATTCTAGAACGTACTCTCAAGCTGTCTGCTTCTCCTTCTGTGAGGAGAATCATTCCGCTGAAAGTCTTCACTTACTGAGCCTTATGAGCACCCTAGATGCCAAGAGTGCCACCAAAGCGATTTCTTGCCGACTGCATTGCAAAGAATGTGCAGTGGAAAGTGGATTATGCAGTGTCTGCGACAACGCGATGAGCAGCTAGCTTAGTTGCTGCGCGGTGCGGCCATGGGTTATGCTTGGTTGGCTCAGCAGCCACCTGGATTGTGCCGAGGTCTGGATCCCACAAGTGGCAACTGTGTAGCAGTCTGTCCTCTGGGCTACTTCTCGTCGGGCAGTGGCAAGTCCGATCGAATATGCCAGCCGTGCAGTGCAAACTGCAACAAGTGCTTTCATGCAGATCAATGCCACTTGGTCTAGACCAGGTTTTGTTACAAGGCATACTGGGGCTTCGAGGTACGGTTGTCAGATCTGCTTTCACTCTGCTGAGGCCTGGAATGCAAGAGTTCCATGTACCTCTCGGCCAGCAAATGTCAGCCTGAATGCCCCAGTGGTTTTTACAAGCATGGTGCTGGTGCTGTGGGTCGGACATGCTTGCCATGCTCTAAGAATTGCAAGCGATGCTCTGACTGGTTTTCCTGCGATGAGTGCGCAGACGATGCATACCTCACAAGCGATGCAAGCTGTGTGACGGTCTGTCCCGATGGACTCTTTGCTGCATTCAGAGGGCAAGCATGTCAAAGTGTGCTGCAGATGCTGTTGAGCGTGATTCCTGTCGTGTTGGCAGGATTCTATGCGGAGGGCAATGGCATTGTTGGGGGCGTCTGTCGAGCCTGCGATACAACTTGCACCAAGTGCAGCGGCCCACATGCTTGCATTGAGTGCGCAGGATCTCGGTACCTGACGCCATTTTTCCAATGCGAGTCTCAGTGTCCTGTTGGCACTTACCCACACGGGCAGGGACAAGTGGGTCGCCAGTGCCTGCCATGCCCCCCGGGCTGTTCTGCATGCACCAGCCCGCTAAACTGCCTAGAGTGCGTGGAGGACTTCTATCTTGCCCCAGACCAGATGTGTACACAGTCTTGTCCAGATGGGTACTACGGAGCTGACAGTCGCTCATCGATTTGCGACTCAGCTTTCTCAAAGCGCTTCAATCTGGGCACCTTCTCGGAGACTGCAAGGGGCATGTCAGAGGTTGTACTGGTCAGTGATGAGCCACCGGAGAACTGCTGTGCAGCATGTGTCGCTGCAGAGGGCTGTGGTGGCTTTGAATTGCTTAATGGCCGCTGCCATATGAAGGGCGACCTTGGCAAGCTGACGAGGCCGGAAGTACAAAGGGCGCTTTCTATCGTTAGGACCAGAGCAGACCTCACCAAGGTCCGGAAGCCGAACTTACTTCGAGAAGCTTCCCAGAACGCATCCAGTTTTCTCCGGCGCCACACGCTACTGCACACCCTGTCCGAGCCATTGAAGCTTGTCTAAATGTCTTGCAGAAGGGTGTGGCATGGCAAGGTTTGCATGCTTTGCCAATGTGCACACCTTGAGGCAGCTCTTGCACCATGGATGGCCAATGCATGGAGTGCATGGCCGCGCAAAGCCTGAGCTTCCGAGCTCAGTGTAACGCAGAATGCCCAGCAGGCTACTACAAGACACCTGTCAGAATCACATCCGGCCTGTTAAGAGGTGTTCATACTGTCGGCCATATCAGCTTGATGTAGAGTCGTAGGCGACAGCGGGCTTCGGTGGAGATTCATGTTCGACTTGCCCAGGAACGGCACCGATGAAGTGGGCAATGTCTGCCAAGAGTGCATCAGCGTTTGCAGCCAGTGCGAAAGCGAGACCGTTTGTACCGAATGCCGCGAGTTCAAGTTCTTGACACCCAATAGCACCTGCGAGGCAGGGAAGCGTCCCGAAGAACCTGAAAGGAACTTTGTTGCTCTTTGGGACATCCCCACCAAAAGCTCTTCAAAAGCCCCTTGCGCGGCCAGCCTAAACCGCATGCAGTGAAAACCCCTTTGTTGGGAGGCCGCTTGCCCGGATGGCTTCTGGGCGAATGGCACCGACGAGGTCGGAGGCCTCTGCTCCAGGCTATGCGGGAACCCAAAAGGAACCGCATGATTATACGTACACTACACACTACTGTCTTTTATATACTGTGTGTTATGGTGTATTATGTACGTTTATGTAAGCATATGGTGGCCGCTCCTGAGGTCGAGCTGTTTGCGGTTTTTCCCTGCAAGGTGCAAGGACGAGTGCACTAAGTGCACCTCCCATGACGTGTGCACGGAGTGTGGCCCGCTCCATTTCCTCACACCGGACCACAAATGCAGCAAGACATGCCCAGATGGCTTCTACCCAGATGGCGATCCCTCATCCATCGGTGGTGTTTGCACCAAGTGTGTCTCGCCGTGCACATTGTGCAAATCTGCAGAAAGGCCAGGGTAGATTCCGGGTAGATTAAAACCCGAACATGAGCCGAGGTCCTCCATTCTAGGCAAAAGGCATCAAGAGCAGCTTTGCTCATTACTCCAACCTGCTGGTCAGGTGTGTAGAATGCGGCAACTTCAGCTTCCTCACGCGCAACTTTACCTGCGAAGAAGCATGCCCCGAGGGCTTCTTCTCAAATTATCCCAACCAGGACAGGGCCCTCCAACAACACTTGTGCAGATGTCTCATTGACTGCGCTAGCTGCCCTACACGACTTGAGCTTGAGGACGTGGAGCGAGCCATTGGACGTCGCACGGCTTGAAGAAAGCCAGCACAGGGAGGCTGTTGCTTTAGTCAAAGATTGGAAGACTTTTGGCCAGTGCGCAGTGGGGTGGATGGCCGCAGCAAGGTCCTACTGTTTCAGACCATGTTGTGAAACGGTTTTCCGGCCTTTGTCGTCCCGGTGTGGAGGGTTGGGGAGACTGAGTTTCATTGAGCTCGTGTTCGCAGTTCTTCGGCACACTTATTGACAGTAGCACGGGAAAGCGCTGCTCAGGGTCCGGACTTGAAGGGTTCGGGAGAGCTCCGACTACCAAAACGAACTCCAGAGTTTCAGGCATTTGCATCCATGCAAACGGGTGTCATGATGGCTTGAGATGGCAAGGTACGTGCCTGGCATGTCGGTTCAACGAGGACACGTGCAAGAATGCTTTGGACAAGGTGGCCAAGCGTTGGGTGACATCACTTCTTGAGGACGGGAATGAAACGTGCTCATCCCAGTCTGTCAATCTCGCAAAGCGGAGCTAAGTATTTTTCTGATAGTGTGTTGTTTGGTCTGCTGCTGCAGGGAGTCCAACAACTGTCAGGCCCTGTTCAGCTAAATGGTTGTGTATGTGTATATCTTCGTAGCTTTGTTTCTTTATAGAGGTTCTTCCTCTGTCTGTCCAGATTGCCACTTGTCAACTCCGTCTCAAAAGTCTCTTGCAACCCACTGCCATCAGGCATCTTTCACATCGCCCTAAACAGCAACCAGGGGGGGCATGAGACTATTTGCAATGGAATTTTGTGGCACTTTGTCGGAGAGAGTACGTGTGGATAGCAGTGCGGACATGCCGACAAGCTCGGGAAAGCTCGTGCCCTCAATTACTAAAGCACAGCGGAGCAAAAGCCCAGTGAGTCATACGGAGGCAGAGTCTCTTCGTTGCCGATACCGAGGCCAGCAGCGGAATTCACGATTCTTGCAGACGAGTGCAAGAACGGGAAGTTTCTCACTCCAGGCCAGAGCTGTCAGGACAGAGATGCCTGCTGGCCTCCATATGTCAACCGGCGATATCCCAAAGTTGGCAGCCTCAACGAAAGCAGAATGGATGATGGGTTGATTGGAGGAGTCTGTGCAGAATGCCCAGATGATTGCAACCAGTGTGAGCTCTGGGACAAATGCACGGAATGCAGGCACTCGAAGTACTTGACGCCCGATGACCACTGCAATTCTACTTGTCCAGAGACGCACTACCCACACAACCCGAAAGAGAACGACACAGACAGCAGTGTGGGACGAATCTGTGTCGCCTGCGAGGGCAATTGCAGCCACTGCGTCACGAAGACAGAACTGTGGACAAATTCAGCCTGACTGGTTTTCTCGAAGTCTCAGAAGCATCTATTAAATCTGTGATGTTTAGTTGCAGTCCTCGGCTATGCCAGGAATGTACCCAGTGCAAGAACGGAGCGCACCTCTCACACAAGGGCGAGTGCAATTTGGAATGTCCTGATGGGTTTTACGAGAAAGCTCCATCAGGCGGTGGCGCCGTCGGAGGCCTTTGCGCGTCTTTGCTTGATTGACTCCGTTAGCTTCGAAGGTTCATGTTTCGGTGATATCTGCGGTGGAAAGACTTTCTCGGGACGTTCTGCTGAGGTGATTTGCCCGGGAGACTGCAACACTTGCGAGAATGCAGAGGTCTGCACCTCCTGCCGAAACCGAGCTTTGCTGTACAAAGGGCAGTGCCTCAAGGAGTGTCCGGCAACCCACTTCCCCGAGATCTCCGGGGACATCGGCGGTGAATGCATAGAGTGCAAGGGGCTCTGCAGTGAGTGCGTGGCAGACGACAACTGTACGCAGTGCAAGCCGCATGGCTTCTTGCATGGAACCTCAAAGAAATGGCTAAGCCGAGCATCCCTGCAACATGAAGGCCCGAAGACAAACTTCGATCTGTGCAGTCTGCGCCTGTGCGCTGTTGCGCACTTGTCATGTCTTGTCTGTATTGCGTGGAGCAGGCTTGAAGAAGACCTGCGCCAAGCAGTGCCCCGTTGGCTACTACAAGGTGAAGGGCAAGAAAACCAATAAGTTCTGGAGCCGAGAACGTGGTGTCAACGGCCTCTTCGGGAGTACCTGCGAGCCGTGCGTGTCGGATTGTCATGACTGTTCCGATTTGGAGACATGCTTGAAGTGCCAGAACAGCAGCTTGGCAGACATTTATCTACCTGGTCTCTTTTCGTCCTGCACAGCTTCGCATGCTCCATGCTCCCCTGCAAGCACAAGTCACGGAGTTACCTTTATGATGCGCATGGGAGGCAAGTTTCTGGACGCGAACAGCCAGTGCCAAGCATCGTGTGCGGATGGCTTCTGGGGTAAAGGCTCAGAAGCTATAGGACGCACCTGTGAAGTATGTGCCGAGAACTGCACGACCTGCCTCAGTGACCAGACGCATCTCGTCAACAGGACTGTCCAACTCTGCTACTTTGTCTGGAAGTTTTGACTTTCACTGTCGAAGCATCTTTCATCCAAGGTGTACAGAATGCAAGAACAGCAAGATCCTCACTCCCAGCGGAACTTGCGATGATGATTGCCCGGATGGTTTCTATGCGCATTCCAGCACGGAAGATGATCCAACCATTGGAAGCCTCTGTGTAGAATGCCCCGAAAACTGTGCTAAGTGCACGAGTCCGGATCATTGCACGGAGTGCAAGTCCGCCACCTATCTTACAGACGATCACACTTGCGATCTGCTTTGCCCTGATGGTTTCTATGGGGACGGCACCGCCGACACTGGAAGGGTGTGCAAGAAGTGTTCCGATGACTGCAATCGTTGCGCCAGTGACGACATGTGCTACGAATGCAAGAACCACAAGTTCTTGACACCGAGTGACGCCTGCGAAGCAGAGTGTCCAGAAGGGTACTATGCAGATCTCTCCTCCGAAACTCCATCGGTGGGTGCATGCCTCAGTGTGTGGCAACTTGTTGTAGTTTTGGCAGCACCGCCGAAAGCGAAGCATAGTCACTCGATGTTCTACGCCGAGTCTGTGCTTGCTTGTTCTGGAGGTGGCCTTTGTATGCCATGCCCCAGTGGATGTGCTGCCTGTGATGGGCCGGACAGTTGCACCGTGTGCAGAGACAACAAGTTCTTGAACAGCCGTTCCCTCAGACATGCATCAATCTGCATGAAGCAGAGCAAAGGTGTGCATATTTCTGGAGTCGCTGATGTTCGCTGTCAGACCGAGGCAAGTCTCGTCTCAATCCCACGAATGAGTGTCTTGAGAAGTGTGCAGAGGGCAACTATGGGAAGACTGGCAAGAAAGATGGCACCTATGGCACCTGCGAACCCTGTCCTGCAGAATGTGCAAGCTGTGTCAGCTCAGATGAGTGCCTTTCTTGCATCGATGGCCCCAGTCTCGGTTATCAGTGATCGGCTGGCTCTCCTCGGCAAGCCTTCCCAGTCAAAGCCAAAGCCGTACCGAGGCTATAAGTTCTCGAAGTCGGATCGCTCGTGCACCAGCTTCTGTAAGACTGGCTTCTTCAAGAATGAGAAGGGCAAGTGCCAGAATCTTGGGGGGCTCATAAGGTGTCTCATTGTGAGCAACTTCCGATGCTCTAAGCACAACCTTGACCCGAGGTCAAAAATGCGCTCATGGATGTGACATGTGCGTGAATGCCTTCCTCTGCACCCGCTGTTCCGAGAACTTGTACGCGACTGATGACATGACCTGTCAGTCTGATTGCCCCAATGGGTTCTATGGAGTTGGGATAAAGGCAACTGGGCGCCGGTGCCAGAGATGCAAGCCGCACTGCAGCAAGTGCATCGATGGGGACATCTGCACCGAATGCACCAACCGCAAATTCTTGACCCACCTTGACACTTGTGAAAGTCTTTGTCCTACGGGGTACTACCCGGAAGCACCCAACGAGAGCCAGCCGACGGGAGGTATTTGCTTTCCTTGCCCTCCCAACTGTGTTGCATGTGAGTCAGCAGAGAAATGTACTGTCTGCAATAACAACACGTACCTGACGGACGACCACCAGTGCAGCCTGAGTTGTCCCGTTCATTTCTACGGCGATGGTACCAAAGGTGTTGGCCGCACTTGCATGAAATGTGGAGAGGATTGTGCCAAGTGTGCCGGAGAAGATCTTTGCATTGAGTGTAAGAACGGCAAGTTTCTGGTCCCAGCTAGTACGTGCGAGCTGAGATGCCCCATCGGATACTACCCATCAACACCTGCCGGCATGATCGGTGTAGGTGGCGAATGCCTGCCTTGTGCCGAAAACTGCCATAAGTGTACGGGAGCTCATACTTGCCTGGTATGCAGACAAGATGCTTACCTGACAAACACATCACTGTGTGTCGAGGAGTGCCCTGTTGGCTTTTATGGGACTGGTAGTGGAGATTACATGCGCACCTGCCAGCCTTGTGCTGAGCACTGCAGTCAGTGTATCGGTGCAGAGAACTGCACTGAGTGCATGGATGGTATGTACTTGACGCCGAGTGAAACATGTCAGGCCGACTGTCCTGACGGATTTTATGAAAGCATTCAGTTGGGAACGGCGGCAGGTACTTGTGAGCCCTGTGCTGCCAACTGTAGCACATGCATAAACTCCATGATTTGTACGGAGTGTCAGAACTATCAGTACCTCGATGGTGACTCCACTTGCTCGGAGTTGTGCGAGCGAGGGTTCTATTATCACATGCCTGATGATACTGGTGGAGTTGGTGGGATGTGCAAGGCCTGTATCAACCATGCAAGCACATGTGTGAACGAAACTCTGGCAACGCAGTGCAAGGACAACATGTACCTCTCATCCTACACCTGGCAGTGCGACAGGGGCTGTGCCGCCGGTGAATATCCTGTGGAGCCCATCAACGGCATGGGTGGTGAGTGTCGACAGTGCAACGACAACTGCAGTCTGTGTACCTCCTACACCTCCTGCACTCAGTGCCAGCACTACACCTACCTTAATCCAGATGATTGGTGCAGGGATACATGTCCCGAAGGCTATTATGCAGAGAATGGCACAGAGGGCGTGGGTGGCCTGTGCTTGGTTTGCCCTCCAACCTGCAATCTCTGCAACAGCGCGGATGATTGCACAGAGTGCAAGAGGTTGACGCCTCAGCCGTTCTCTCATGCAGCTTTCAGGTCATAGTTCTGTGCAGCCTTGATCTCCGAGGTATACTTTTCGGACACCTTCTGCAACCTGTGAGAGCGAGTGTCCAGAGCCTTGGAACTGGTTTGCTCTAGATTGGCTCAAACTGCTGTGAAGTCAAGGACTGCAGTTTGCAAATCTGAGGACAATTATTGGGAGTTTGGAATGGATGCGATCGGAGGTACATGCGAGATGTGTGCCGAGAATTGCAGTCTCTGCATCAGTGACACGCAGTGCCCAGAGCTTACACTTGTGGTGCGCAGGTACTGGGGATGTCCTTAGGAAGCTTTCTGCTGCAAGCTGGCTCGTCCCCTGTGCTGTCCGAGGCACCGAGTGCAACAGCTCACTGTTTCTCTCACGCTCTGGGGAGTGTGTGGAGCACTGCTCTGATGGAGATTTCGAGCTGGGAGCAGGGGAAAGCGGACGAACTTGCCAGAAGTGTCCACCGGAAGTCAGCAGGTGTATCAACGCATCGTTTGCGACAGAATGCAAGGATTCCCTATATTTGACTCCTAATGGAACGTGTGAGGAGAAATGCCCTCCTGGATTTTACATGCACGGTGAAGGAGAGTTTGGAAGAACATGTCCGAGATGTGCTCAAAATTGCAGCCTGTGTGAAGATGCTCATACCTGCACAGAATGCCAAAACGCACACTTCCTGACTCCCTGGAACTGGTGCGAATTGGACTGCCCGGTGTCCTACTACAAGTCAGGCAACGAAGATGTTGGAAACACCTGTGAGAAATGCCAGACTCACTGTCGCACCTGTATAAGTGAGTTTGAGTGTACCGAGTGCACGGACAACAAATATCTGACACCCGGCAGAAGTTGTGAGTCCTTGTGTCCAGACAACTTCTTTGAGTTAGGCAGCGGTCCAACAGGCAGAACTTGTCCACCCTGCGAGACGAACTGTCACAAGTGCGAGTCTGCCACCTTGTGCACGGAGTGTAACAACTCCCTGCATTTGCTTGATGGCGACTGTGTGCCAGTCTGCCCAGATGGATTCTTTCATGAAGGTGCCGAGGACAGAGGACGCATCTGCAGGGACTGCGACAGTTCCTGTGCCAAATGCAGTGGCTGGGACGTGTGCTTGGAATGTTCGAAGGCTATGTACTTGACGCCGAACAGCACATGCCAAGCCCAGTGCCCGGACGGTTACTATCATAACGGCACCGGTGACTTTGGAATCCTGGCTGAACTTGAGCACGAGCGGTAGCTTTCGTTCGCTGTTTGGTTATGTTCGTGATGCCCTTGGCCATTCAAGGACGTACCTGTCCACAATGTGCGGAGAACTGCAGTCTGTGCACTGCTGCCGACACCTGTACTGAGTGCCGGAATTACACATACCTCACACATGAAGACTGGTGCGAGTCTGAATGTCCAACTGGGTACTACGAGCACGGCACAGAATACCTGGGAAGCACGTGCGAGCCGTGCTCAGAAAACTGCCGGGACTGCACCAGCAATTCCGTTTGCCTTGAATGTGGCAACGAGAAGTATTTAGATCCCTCCAGCGCCAGCTGCAAGACTTCCTGCCCAGATGGTTTCTTCGGGAAGGAAGGAACGGACGTCATTGGCCGTCTTTGCGAACCCTGCCCGTCCACCTGCAACATGTGCAACTCAGGGTCGGAATGTACGGAGTGCAGAGACTTCAACGCCTTGACACCGTTCAGTACTTGCGAGAAGCTGTGCCCGCCAGCATTCTACCCCAACATCACTGGAGAGATTGGCGCGATCTGCGCACGGTGCGACGACACCTGCAATACGTGTGACTCTGCAGAGGCGACCTCACTTAGATGAACAGCTGTTTTCGTCAGCGAAGCTTGCTTCTGTTCCTAGACTCACCCTCGTAGCTTCGTGCCTCGTGACAGGTCTGCACCCAGTGCAAGATGCACTTGCTTCTGAATCCTGATGGCAAGTGTCGGGAGATCTGCCCCGTCGGCTACCACCCGTTGCCTGGCCGTGGCCCTATGGGTGGAAGTTGTCCGCTCTGCTCCGAGAACTGCAGCCAGTGTGCTAATGCTGATGTTTGCACGGAGTGCAGGACAGGGAGAGTACTTAGACATTCTGATTTGCAGTTCACTCGGTCAGAAAGCTGTAGCCGTGCGCTTTTTTTCCACGCGGTTGCAGCAACACTTGAAGAAAGGGTGTTGAGTATAATATTCCTTATGGAGGCTGCCATGACCATTGGGATTGCAGGAACTCCACGTTCTTGACGCCCTACTTCTCCTGCGAAGCTTCCTGTCCGCCGGGCTACTTTGGGCAAAGCGACGGAGAGATCGGAAGCGTCTGCCGGCACTGCCCAGCGGGATGTAACCTCTGCGAGAGCTTGGAGGTGCCGAGGTTGACATTGCTGCACAGTCTCTTTGTCCTCAGTGAGTGAAGATGCAGGTTTGCACCCAGTGCAAAGACCACAAGTTCTTGCAGCCAGATGGAACCTGCGGGGATGTGACTGCGCTGTAAAGATCAATCTGGCTAGAACCTTTTCGTTGTGCGGCAGGCTCTGGTGTTGCATCATCTCAGGTTTGCCCGGCAGGGTACTACATGCTCGAGGGCACCGGTGCGTTTGGAACAGGAGGGTCATGTCCCCTTTGTGCCGAAAACTGCAGTCAATGTGCCTACTCAGCACCTGGCGGATCCTGAAGTTGAGCGATGGATCGCAGAACATTGTGTTCTGCTGTTCTAGCCGAGGTGTAAACCAGACATACTGCACCGAGTGCAGAAACAGCACATACTTGACTCCATTTGGATGGTGTGCTGCAGACTGTCCAGACGGATCTTACGAGCTTGGCAACTCCACTGTCGGTCGGACATGTCCCTTGTGTCCCTCCAGCTGCAACACCTGCGAGCCGCGCGCTTGGACTGACCGAGCTGATCTTGCTCATACCTCTCCTCTGTCTTGCTTTGAGCTTTATTCCTGTCCAGGCTTACATGCGGACATGTTCGGGTTTCGGTGGCTGTGTGGACTGCAAGCCGCCCAAGTGACTGTCGGAGTGGGCTGCTTCGCTTGTCAGGTCAGAGACGCACTGCACAGAGTGCAAGCGGTCAACGTACCTAACAAGTTCGCACCAATGTGAAGCAACATGTCCAAAAGGCAGGGCATGTCTTGCTTCCAGGTTGCCAAACTAGATTCCTGTCCCTGCCTCCGCCAGGCTTTTTTGCAAAGCGAGAGGGGAAGGTGGGAGGACAATGCGAGATGTGTCCACAGCAGTGTCCAGAATGCGTGAGCGCCGCACGGCCGTCTAGTTTAATATCTTCGGATAAATGCCCTATGCAAGTTTCTGCAACAGCATGCAGATTTGTCGCTTCGTGCATCTAAGGCCGGGGTGTGCACCAGGTGCAGCGAACCTTTGTTCCTTACGCCACATGGAGAGTGTGCAGAAAATTGTCCAGATGGGTACTATCAAGAGGAACAAGAAAGTGGTGGAAGTTGCCCCATGTGCCCAGAAAATTGCGCAACTTGTGATAGCAGGGAGAAGTGCACCTCGTGCAGACGTGGCACTTTCATGACCGAATACCACCAATGCAGATCCGTCTGTCCTGCAGGCTATTATGGTCTGTTCGGAACTTGCTATACCTGTCCAGACACTTGCAACTTGTGCACATCAGCTTCCGAGTGCACGGAGTGTAAGAACGGAACGTACATGACGCCAAGTGGTACCTGCGAGTACGAATGCCCTGATGGATATCATCAACGCGGTGAGAATCCCATCGGAAGATTCTGCTCAAAGTGTCCCTGGACATGTCTCACTTGTCTAAGTGACGATGAGTGCACTTCTTGCAAGAATCATTCATGGCTCAGCCCTCACAAAATGTGTGACTTTACTTGTCCGGATCACTTCTACAAGGATGGCGACGAGGAAGTTGGGAACGAATGCCGGATGTGTCCCGGAGATGCCAGCAAATGCATATCTGCAGAGTACATGAGCGAGTGCAAGAACGGGAAGTACCTGACACCGTCCGCGAAGTGTGAAGACTCATGCTCGAAGGGCTACTATCCCGCAGGTTTGGAGTCCTTTGGTCGAACTTGTTCATCCTGTGCCGAAAATGGTAGTGCCTGCGAAGATGCCACTCGGCTGACATGTTTTGCCTTCGATGTGTCTTACACCGAGTTAGCTAGATTTGTGCACTTCGCTGTTGTCTGAGGCGACGGTTTGCACCGAATGCAGAAATGGCAAGTATTTGACTCCAGCAAAATGGTGCCAAGATGAATGCCCAGCCGGATACTATCATAGTGGCTCTGGATCAGTTGGACGTGAATGCCTGCCATGTGATGACCTGTGCAACTTATGCACTTCTGAAGATGAATGTGTGGAGTGCAAGGACAACTCCTTCCTCACTGCAGATTCGAAGTGCCAAGTGACATGCCCGAACGGCTTCTGGGGTAAGCCTGGCATACAGGGCCTCGGCGGTGTCTGCGAATCGTGCCCTTCGACTTGTTATACATGCCACGGCCCGCTGGAGTGTACAGTTTGCCGAGACCAATACTACCTGCAAGACGGACAGTGCCTACCGACCTGCCCAGAAGGTCACTATCATGTGGGTGACACGGACGTCGGTCGGGTATGTGAACACTGTCCGGTGCAGTGCAAAAGCTGCGTCAGTGAAGATGTCTGTACTGAGTGCCAAGATTCGCTGTATTTGACTCCTGCATCAACTTGTGAATCGTCTTGCCCAGACGGTCACTACAAGAACTATTTGGGAAAGGTCGGAAGCACGTGCCCGGCATGCACAGAGAACTGCAGTTTGTGCACGAATGCGACTTACTGCACCCAGTGCAGGAACAGCACGTATCTGACACCAGAAGGAAAGTGCGAGGCTTCCTGTCCGGACGGTTTCTTTGGAGATGGCGAGGACGAGATTGGTCGGATCTGCAAGCCTTGTGCAGCTCCGTGCAACAAGTGTCTTAGCGAGACTCATTGCACGGAATGTCGTCAGTCTACATATCTAGATCCACTGACATCCTTCTGCGACACAACGTGCTCCACCGGCTACTACAGCAGCGGCGTCAATACCATCGGCCGTACATGCGAGCCCTGCGCGCAGAATTGTGAGAAGTGCGAATCCAAAGATTGGTGCACGGAGTGCAAGAATTTCAGGTATCTCAATGGCCACTCTTGCATCGATGCCTGCCCGGAAGGATACTACAAGCAAGGTACCGCCGCTATCGGAAACACCTGCCAGGCCTGCTCCAAGGACGAATTCCTCAGTCTCGCAGTGCACTTGCTTCTGGGGGTGGGGGGGCTGATTTGCAGCATGCAAGTAGTCAGACAGATTATGGTAGAGGGACGTTCGGCTCTGGTGAAGAGGCATCTGTGTTTTGATCGGAAGAACACTTCGAGTTTGCAATGGTATCCCCGCAGGACTGTAAGAGCTGCACGAGTCTGGAACGATGCGAAGTATGCGCAAATTCGACTTACCTCACATCAAGCCGCCGATGTGAAGATGCGTGCTCCACAGGCCTTTGGGCATTTAAACCTTCCCTCACTTATTGAGATTTATCTCTGTGGTTAGGGGTAGCGCACTTGGCAAACTGCTTGCCAGGATTCATTGAAACCGGCGATGGGATCATTGGCCGAACATGTGAGGTGCTATGTTTCTGGTGCCATTAGCCCGAAAGTTCGCCATTCGACAGGCCAGCAGGATGCTTGCGCCTTCGCGTCCGTTCAAAAAGATGACGAGCCATGCAATTGCTAGGGCGGTGAATTTCGACAAGGATTGACTCAAAGGTCGATTGCAAGAGCATTGGCTATCAAATAGCAACCACACCCACAAGAGGCATATCTTTCCGGCAGTCAGACTTGCGCCTGTCGACAAGTTCGAATGGGAAGCAGAGTACTGCTAACTCCTCGAATGTTCGTGAATTGAAAGAGTTTTTCTGCGATATCACATTGGCTTCGAGCTTCTCAGAGCTACAGAGCAAGAAGCGTCGGTCAGGCCTGCAAAGTTCGCCGATCGTAGCCTTACCATCAGAATAGTAGTATCACTAGAGTATTGAGCAGGTTAACATCGATATTTTTAGCGGTAATGTGGCAGTTTTTTTATGGCACAAGCAAGAGCGTGCATTGCATGTGAGTTCAAACGCTTGGCTGCTTTGCCTGTGTGCTTTGGAACTACCTTGTTCTAGGATGTCCTCCAGGTCGTATGATGATTTACCCATTCAGCGGAACACTCGTTGCTTTCATGTTAGTTTGCAGCTTCTGCATTGCTCATCGCGTGCGGTTTGTTTTCGTCCCTGTTTCTTGTTTGCGATTGCCCACATTACATTGCGCCATTTTTTGACATGAGAGACATGGCTAA